TTTTCACAAAGCAAAAGAAATTGTTGTTTAGGAAAATAATTGTGTATGCTGACTGAATGTTATCGAGAAATGTCGAAATTAATCACAAACTACCTGTTTCGTTAGTAATGACTACTAGAACTGTTTGCATTGCCATCTAAAATTTGCGGGCGGAAACTAAGTTAAGGTCCTAATAATTCCAAAGAAACCTTCGTCGCTTCATTGAATATCAAAGTTCTGATATCCAATCTTTATTCAGGATATATCGATGATTTTTTATCTCGTTACTGTGTAATCTTTTTCATCTAGTCACTATCTATGTAATTGATGCAGTTAGACAGTTCTGATATTCAAAAGACTGAATAGTAATATTTAACCAGTCACGAGCTACTGACTAGCTAGAAAACTTATCTAGTCATTCTTCTCTAGCTACTAGTCTTAAAATCTACTCTAAATATATATAATTTAAGTAACATATTAGGTGGTAAACTTAGTTCCTGCGGCTCACAGTTAGATGACGTTAGTTGTAGGTGTAATTTATTTTGACATCTGAAACTGGCTGCATTTTAGAGGTTAGACATTTGTCAATAAAATTCAGTGCGAAGAGATTCATTTAAGCGAGCAGTGCTATTTTTTCTTTTGATTAAATATGGAACGTGATAAGTTGTTTTTTCGACATGTGCTGCTTCATTACTTTGACTTGAAAAAAACTGCAGCTGCAGCTCATAAATTGCTTTTCGAAGCTTATGGCAATTATGCTCCATCGGAAAGAACATGCCAAGTATGGTTTCAGCGATTTAAGAGTGGTGATTTTGATGTCAATGATAAAGAACGCTCAGGCCAACCGAAAAAGTTTGAAGACACCGATTTGCAGGCATTATTGGACGAAAACTCTACTCAAACGCTCCAAGAATTGTCTGCAGCATTAAATGTTACTCCGATGGCTGTTTCCAAACGTCTACATGCAATGGGAAAAATTCAAAAGGAGGGAAAATGGGTACCACACGAATTAACCGCAAATGCCATTGCGAATCGCTTAAACATCTCTATTTCTCTGCTCGCCAGGCAGAAAAAGAAGAGTTTTTTGTGGCGCATAGTGACTGGCGATGAAAGGATATACTTCGATAATCCTAGTAAACGAAGAAAATCATGGGTAGACCCTGGCCAACCATCGACATCCACACCAAAGAGAAATATTCATGGCCACAAAGCAATGCTTTGCATTTGGTGGGATATGCACGGCGTCGTTTATTATGAGCTACTCAGACCGAACGAAAGTATCACGGGGGATCGATATCAATCACAATTAAACCGTCTGAATGAAGCATTGTTGGAAAAAAGGCCAGCAGTAGCCAGCAATCGACGTAAAGTCATGCTTTTGCACGACAACGCTCGACCACACGTTGCCAAAGCCGTCAAAGAAACACTGATGCAGCTCGAGTGGGAAGTTCTCCCGCACCCAGCGTATTCACCAGACTTAGCTCCTTCGGACTATTACTTGTTCCGGTCGATGCAGCACGGCTTGGTGGATACACACTTCAGAAATTACGAGGATGTGCGAAAATGGATCGACGAATGGATTGCATCAAAAGACCAATCGTTCTATCGTCGCGGAATCTACGCGTTGCCCGAAAGATGGGAAAAATGTATAGCTAGCGAGGGAAAATACTTCGATTAATGTATTTTTTGCTTTTGATGTCGAAATAAATGAGTTTTTTAAACAAAAAACCGCAGGAACTAAGTTTACCACCTAATATATCTAACTTTGCTAGTTTAACCATAAGCTTTAATGGGTTAATTTAGGTTTTATCTTTAGAACTTTAGTTATATGTTTAAATTTTTGAAACATTGGCGGTAGAAGCATATAGTATGTTTACATCCTTAAGAATAACAACATATAAGTTCTTATTGTTGCAAAGAATGCTGTCGAAGATTGGACAATCTAGATACATTTTTGCTCGGGTAGACGCGTTCCCACCTATTTTTTGAAAAGTCCGTATGTTGGAAAATGGCTTTATCATACATAGTTGAATTAAAAATAGTCGGAATAAAAAATCATTTCATTTAGTAGAAATGAAATTTTTAAATTATAAAAAAAATTGGTGAGTGGTGGGAGTAAGTTTAACATTTTAACATTATTTTTAAACTGAAAACACCATTGTAAAGTACACTTCAAACAATTCAATATTGGTTTAAAAAGTTTTTTTCTATCTCTTATACTTTCGACAGTGCATGCTTCAAAAGTGAAATATCAATTTTCCTTCAAAGGGGTGTCGTGCCCCGTATTGCTGGGGCGCAAGAGAGAAAGATTCGAGATCGATGTTGCAGGCGCGGCAGGGTGTGTGGCGGTAGGACGACCAACGATTGTAGTCGTTGGCGTAATAAAATAACCTTGATTGTAAAAAAGTATTTAGTTTATTTGTTAACTTCCGAAACCTAGGGTTACACGCGGGAGGTGCGACAGGTACGTATGTCGCGGGCGAGAGACCGGAGGAAGAATTCTCGGTCTTCTCCGCTCTTTTATAATATTGCTTAGCCTTATCGGAGGGAACAACAAGGAAGTTGCCAAATTTGATGATAGCCCGGCGCATTCCGGCTCAAAGTCCGAGGCGCGAAATGTACAAGGTGGTGCTTAGCACTTGCACATCCGCTTTCTCGTTGTAGCGCGATCGAAATGGTTCTTCATGAAGCGTTTCGGCAGCGCTAATAATATTCACGATTATAACAGGGGTGTTCACCCTCTAAAGATGCGATTGGGCACGTATAAAAAAATATGTGTCCTTATTTTAGCCCCTTATTTTAGTTTACATTATAACATATTTCAAGCTCATTCGAATCGGAGAGAGACGGTTCCTAGATCTCCTCGGTTCTTACATCTCCTTGTAAGAAAATATTATTCATATAATATACATTTCAAACAGAAGCTGATAAGAATAAGAGTCTTGTAAATACTTAATTACTTATGGGTATTCCTGATATATTTTTGCTAGATATTTTTGACAAATAATATCGTGAAGAAAGTTAAGACGCTGTCCAAAATTGCATTTCTTCTTCTAGTATCTCTGTGACCATAGCACCGACTTTAGTAGAGGTAACAAATAATTCTAGTCTGCCCCCGGCATTACCACCAAAGAGATCTCGTTCCACTAAATCAAACGTTACACCGCCTCCAATATCGCTAAAACCTACCGTCAGTATGCAGAGTATTCATAACTCAGAACCTCTCGTCGCATCGACACCTTTGAAACCGGAAGAATTCAACCATGCGCACGAGAAGAAAGACGTCACACCCCTTACTCCGGTGAAACTGGTAAACATAAATGTAATCATTTTATTGCGTTATTAAGAACTTATTGCAATTCGCTTTCGCACAGTACATGTGTGTGACGTAATCGTTATTATTCCAGAATAATAACGTCATCACAGACACGGTACTATCGTCGTCAAGACCTGCTAGTAATGCGCTTTCTTCCATATCAGTTGATGAAAATACTCTTGAGTTAAGGGATATCGATCAAGATAATAGCATTTTGGATGAGTTGGATATTAGCAAGTACTTGGTATTGAAAAAAGCGGACGAAGAGGGCCCGGATATACGCGGTGGACATCCAGATGCATTATTAATTCATGCCACTAAAGCTAATAAACATGGTAATAAACATGGTACATAATTTCAATTTCTAAATATTTAGTATTAATCTAATATTCGAAAAGCTAAAATAATTTATTAATATGCTTTTCACACTGCATACAGATGAAAAGGAATCAGGTTGGTGATATATTTCATAAATAGTTACATTGATTATTAATTATTCATGATTGAGAAGTAATACATTACTTGTTATGCCGATATTGTTACAAGTTATTTTTTCTTTATCAACAACTTTGTAAGATTTTTCTTTTTTCAATATACAGGGTGTCTCGGACCTCCATGATCACACTTTGTGAGAACGTAGAACGGATTGAGGTGAGCAAGAAAGTTCTGTGCCCTATGCCGTTTTGCGATATTTGCAATAGTTTTCGAGAAATTAATTATTTTGTCTAAATGAGAGCAGAGGAAGCGGCAGCCGAAAGAAAGATGTCTTCGGCCGGCGTGCGACCGTGATACACGCGAATCGCAACTCGCTGTATCCCTCCGCCTATAGCTACGAGACACAGCGAGGCTTGATACATTAACACATGTGCATAACATATCCATGTGCCGAATCGAAACGTGTCGTTACTTCGACTACATACGTATATGTAGAGATGAAACGACGAAGCGGCAACACACTCTTAGATTCGGCGTCGATTCGGCACACGGATATGTCATGCATATAGGTTAGAGTATCAAGCCTCGCTGTCTCGTAGCTATGAGCGGAGGGACGCAGCGAGTCTCGATTCACGTGTATCACGGTCGCGCGCCGGCCGAAGACATCTTTTTTTTGAAAAATATATATAAAAGGGCTAATTTGAATTCAAGCACAGATATAATAGTGCTATTATATCATATAGATAAAGTCTTTCTTATGTTAGGAAATAGAGAAATCCTTTATTGAATATAATATAAATCATCAAACATTTCGGCTCAATCATGAACCCTCTTCAATGATAATTACAATAAAATAAAATTACTCAAGGATTGTACAGAAAGTATTACAAAACGATAGTATCGTAATTCGGGCGAAACAAACAGATCTCAATATTCTTTTTGACTTTACAATCGACAAAAACGTTAAAAGAACAGTGATTTTATAGTAGATAATTTGATCCAAAAATTATGATGTGTCCGTCATAACTCTAAACATTAAAAAACCCCCAAAAAACCAAAAATAAGTAAGAATTGTAATATCAATATATAAAAAAATAAATATTTAAATTATAAATTACCTCAAATAAAAGTAAGCTACTATAGAAATGTGAAACGTTCCTGTCGACGCCAATATCACTAAGTCAGAGAAATACGAATAATATTAAATTTATATACATTAGCATAATATATCGAAGCGGTAAACACGTGGAAGAGAAGGAAAACAAAAGTTTTGATTTTTTGGGGGTTTTTTAATGTTTAGAGTTATGACGGACACATCATAATTTTTTAATCAAATTATCTACTGTAAAATTACTATTCTCTTAACGTTTTTGTCGATTATAAACTCAAAAAGAACGTTGAGATCTGTTTGTTTCGCCCGAGTCACGATACCATCGTTTTGTAATACTTTCTGTACAATCCTTGAGTAATTTTATTTTATTGTAATTATCACTAAAGAGGGTTCACGGTTGAGCCGAAACGTTTGATTATTTATATTATATTCAATAAAGGATTTCTCTATTTCCTAACATAAAGCTTTATCTATATGATATAATAGCACTATTACATCTGTGCTTGAACTCAAATTAGCCCTTTTATATATATATTTTTTAAATTTAATTTTTGTAGTTCTTTTTCGGTTTTTTAATATTTTTTTTTTGGTTGCCACTTCCTCTGCTTTCATTAGCTGAGACAAAATAATTAATTTTTCGAAAACTATTACGAATATCGAATAAACGGCACAGAACTTTCTTGCTCACCTCAATTTGTTCTACGTTCTCACAAAGTGTGATTATAGAGGTCTGAGACATTCTGCATACAGGGTGTCTCCTCTGGGCATTTTGTAGGGACGTAGAATGGGTTAATGTAAACATAAAAGTCCTATACCGTTTTGCGAAATTCGCAATAATAATCGAGATATTAATTAAAAAAGATTAAGGAAAAACGCACGCTGAATGGTAGAGGACGGACCGTTCGAGTCACTGCGTGGCCAAGTAATAAAGTGCGCGGATGTCGCGCGCGGTGATTGGAAGATAATGCACCACTGCCTATTCTTATCTCGGCGCGGTGCGGTAAGCGTAGGAGCGCAGCGATATAAGTATTGGCAGTGGTGCATTATCTTCCAATCACCGCGCGCGACATCCGCGCACTTTATTACTTGGCCACGCAGTGACTCGAACGGTCCCTCCTCTACCATTCAGCGTGCGTTTTTCCTTAATCTTTTTTAATTAATATCTCGACTATTATTGCGAATATCTCAAAACGGTATAGGACTTTTATCAACCCATTTTATGTCCCCACAAAATGCCCGGAGGAGAGTGCGAGACACCCTGTATACAGGGTGCCTGACTTGTACCGTACCAGAGCTAGTATACAGAGTGTCTTATAATTGTAACACACTAACTCTATAGGGGCATACAGCTAAGCGAGAGGATCAGAAAAGTCCTCTTCCATTTTGCGATAATGCGTCTAGTTTATTAGTAACAACCGCATAAAGTTTGGCGTTTGTCACGCCCATCGCGGCTTATAGACGCTCCGTAGGTACGTCGAGGTCGAGCGGTAATGCGGCGCGTTCATCGTCACCTCGCCGCGCGCCGGCAACGTTAAAGCGTCAAAACGTCATCGCGGGGGTCAGCGCAAGTCGTGTTCCGCTCTGTCTCGACGCATACAAGCCTCCGCTTCGTCGCGGAGCATCTATAAGCTGTGATGGGCGTGACAAACACCAAACTTTACGCGGTTGTTACTAATAAAGTAATAAACTAAACACGTTATCGCAAAATGGAAGAGGACTTTTTTGATCCTCTCGCTTAGCTCTACGTCCCTATGGAGTTTGTGTGTTACAATTATGAGACACCCTGTATAGCTAAAATAAGTCAAGGTGAGTAATGGAATCGGGGTTTTTTTTAATCAACCACGTAAAGTTTTGAATTATTAACGATAAAAGATTTCTACCGAGCGGTAGCCCACTGGCCAATCAGCACACGCGCTGCGGTGAAACGAACGCTGTACGTACTGTAGCATGGGCATAACAGGCTAATCGGGCCAGCCTCCAACGAGGAAAACACGTTGCTAGGAGATTAGCTCAACTAGCGTCTAATGCCCACGCGACACCATATAAAACGTTTGTCTCACCTCAGCGCGCGTGCTGATTGGCCAGTGGGCTACCGCTCGGTAGAAATCTTTTATCATTAATATCTCAAGATTTTATGTGGTTGTTTAAAAAAAGACATCGATTCCATTAATTCGTTTCGCCTCAAAATGACCTAAATTTTGTCTTTTCTTCATGGCAATAATTTTGACAGAAAACGTCCATAGATCTTTCCGGCATTCGATACTCTCCTACACAGCACAAAATATCTAGCAATGTCTTCAGAATATTACATTTGCAATGTTAAATATTCTGGAAATAATCTCAGAGATATTCTAGAAATATTTCTGCAATGTCTTATGTCACCAACTTGTAATATTGTTGAGATATTCTGGAGACATTGCAGGGATATTCTGAAATATTACTGGATAATTCTGGAAATATTGAAACCTTATAAAAATTAAAAAATAATTTTTATGATCTTCAATTCACATGTCAATTTATGTTGATTTTAAATGAAATTTAAGTCTTTTAATTGATTTCTCACTATTTTTACATCAGAAAATTTACTCACAAGGAGATACCACAACCTGTTAAATCGATTTCTGAATGAGACATAACACGTTCGCTAGCAGCGATGTTAAGCATCAACATCCTAATTGAGGTTTGTGCCAATGGGCCTTTGTGAGAAATTACAATATAAAGTTTGGGTTGCGGGACTGTATCACGGATATGGCTAAAAATACGATTATCTTTTAGCGAGGCGGCGTGGCCGAGCAGACTGAAGCTTCCACGTCGAAGATTTTTGAGCCGGAAGCGAGCGTTTGAAACCCGGCGACGAGTTTATTCTTGTATGGTGTCCTTATACTTTTTTTTATCTTAGGGTATTTTTTTATCTTAGGGTATTTTTTTATCTTAGGTATGTAATTAATGTTTTTTGAATATGATACATTTGTTTTGCATATGTCTTGTTTTTATGCTATTAATCAGGAGTAATTAGGGAAGTGTCAGGCTTGTTTAACGCAAACACGAATATAGACACATATTTTGCATTGCTTACAATAAAATATATATTTTAGTACATCACTTTCGTATGAAAACATTGTATACAACATTGTCATATAATAAAACATTATCATATAATAAAACTTATACGCTATCATATAACAATATTTTATTATATGACAATGTTTTATCATATGACAATGTTTTATTATATGATAATGTTTTATTATATGACAATGTTTTATTATACGACAATGTTTTATTAAATGAAAATGTTTTATTATATGACAATGTTGTATACAATGTTTTCATACGAGTGATGTACTAAAATATATATTTTATTGTAAGCAATGCTAAATATATGTCTATATTCGTGTTTGCGTTAAACAAGCCTGATACTTCTTTAATTACCCCTGATTAATAGCATAAAAACGAGACATATGCAAAACAAATGTATCATATTCGAAAAACATTAATTACATGCCCTAAGGTAAGAAAAAAAAAATATCGTACAAGGATAACTTGTCGCCGGATCTCGAACGCTCGCTTCCGGCTAAAAAATCTTTGACGTGGGAGCTTCAATCTGCTCGGCCACGCTGCCTCGCTGAAAGACAGTCGTATTTTTAGCCATATCTGTGATACAGTCCCGCAACCCAAACTTTATACAGTAATTTCTCACGAACAAAGGCCCATTGATATAAACTCCAATTAGGATGTTGATGTTTAACATCGCAGCTAGCGAATGTGCTATGTCTTGTTCAGAAATCGATTTAGCAGGTTGTGGCATCTCCTTGTCAGTATTAATCGGATGCGAATTCGAGAACTACAGGATACAGATATCTTCAGGTTTCTAGTGTATCACCTTAGCTGTTGCGCTACTTCTTCT